ATACACTTGGTGAAAAACATTAAGACCCCGTATATAATTACTGTAGCAATTCAGATCTCAAAACTACACAACTTTTCAATGCTCTGTGACGCTGTTATGCAATAATGACGCCACATATATTGACTCATTCACTCACTCACTCCGAACATTGAATGGTGAGTGACAGAGAAGCTCGTCGAACTCAGTTTCTACTTCCAATGCCTTGAACGTCACCAGTTGAAAAAGAGAACCTCCAGCTGCATTGGAAGAATTGGCACTCAAAGTCAAAGTCGAAGTCTTTTTCACAAAGCTGCTCAAATGGATGATTGGCTGCCTTGATTTGTTCATGATGGCAACCAACCCTGCAAATAGCCGATCATTGACAGTGAGCAGCAAATGTCTTTGCCATCTGTTCACACGAGCAGTGTATTCGTTAAGCTCTTCCATTGCCAGAAGGTCAACGCCGCCCAAAGTAGCGGTAGCGCTAGTCCCACTCTTTGATTTTTTGCTCTTGCTTTGCGCTGCTTTCTTCCCGCAGCGTTCTGCAGCTTCTTTTTTTGATCGTGCCTTTTTTGCTTTACTGGCAAATGCAGTCTGTAGGTCCTCTGGCAACATGCTTGAAATCTGGCCCAAAAAGTTCTCATCCAGCTCTGAATCATCGCTTGCCGCCAAAACCTTTTGGAGGAAGGTTTTGCTGAGGGAATGAGCAAACTTCGACATTCCTCCCTTCAAAAGGCGCTCCTCCAAGCAGTTGACAGAGCCCCACCTGGATGAAATGCATTTGGGTAGCAGGGTTTGCACATGCTGCATTGCTGATTCGCAGCCGTATAAGCTTTCCCAAGACTTGAACAAGTCCTTGGCAGAGTCTCTTGCACAGTTTGCCAGCACCGCAAGGGATGAATAGTATTTCCAAGGTCTCTGATACCTTTGAAGCAGTTCGTCCACAAACATAAGACCTCCCAGCACTGCCAAGTGCAAGCCATGCTCGAAGCAATCCGTCTCCAAGTATATGAGCCGGTCAATGTTGGAGGTGAGGTTCAGGATGTGTTTGCGAGCTTGAATTTCATTTGAGCCTCTGTCCGTAGTCACGCATGTCCATATAGCGGAACTCGTCCTTATGTTGAGGAGTTCACACCGATAAAAGAGTCTCTTTCCCCAAAAAAGTAAGGAAAGCAGGAAAACATGGTCACAGCCACGGTCACAGCCACGGTCACAGCCAGAACTACCATTTACCGGTTACCAGAACTAGCCACGGTCACAGCCAGAAATCTTCCCACAAGAACTAAGAACTGTCAGCATATCAAGCATACACTAACCTTGAGCAGGAGTGTAAAGTAGCCGATGTACACGTAGCGTCCAGTCCCAATGCCCTACAAACATCATGCAACCATTGTAATCACATACTGTATATATGTATATATGTATGTATAAGTCATATAAATCTAGGTGGTCATTTTGTCCAAGTTGTGTTGCGCAGTAGAAAAAGGTATATGAGTTGAGTTGTCATTTGCCGGTTGTCACTACCACTACCAGCAGAAAACAGGGAACTGTTCATTGGATGCTCATTCACCCCATCTCACCGTCACCCATAATCAACGTTTTTTTGTTTTTTAACGAAGCCAAGACAAGTAACGGAATCTGAAGGTTTGTAAACGCTGGGGCCGCTGGGGTTGCATGGCAATCGTCTTCTTCGTGTGCGATTTCACCCTGGCTAAAGGAACGCCAAGTCGGACAGCCCAGCCCGGATAGAAGTTTGTGGCTCATCTCTGCAGTTGCTTTGCCCGTCCCATCCACCACAGGTAGAACGTCTGACAAGCGCTTTATGCTTTGCCAGTTGACATGTGCAAATGAATTTGTTTTTGTTCCAGCAGCATTGTTCTGGGCCTTGGCCTTGGTTTGTGATACCACAACATAGTGCCCCTCCACAATCACAGACTGCAGCTTTTGGCGATTGAAAATGGCTCGGTTTGTCGCATCCTGCGAGTAGTGAACAATGGTGCACGAAAAAGTATCTTCTGGTGAATCTGGTGAACTCTGAGAAGAGGACCAAATTTGTTCATACCAGTATCGCCAGAACAAACGTGAAGACGCGACCAAGCAAGCCGCTGTTTTCAGTTCAGCCCTGGTCACTGTCCATCGGGACACATCGACCATGATGGAGAGACCCATCTCAGTAGAAGCCACATTAGCCACGTTCCGCCGCAAGGCAAGCGAAAGGAGACCTTGCGGAGTAAGCCATCCTTTTGCATCTGTCTCTCCTTCAATAAAAATCTCTCCTTTTGCAATGAGCTTCGCATCACTTGTGCGAGTCACTCGCAAGGCCAGATTGGACTGGTTTTGGGCTTGTTCAATGGTAAGGTTTGCAGCATCCAATTTCTTTTGCAACCGTTGGTTTTTCTGCCTTTCAAGTCTGAGGTCTTTCTCTTTCTTCTGGATTTTGGCGTTTTTCCTCCGCAGGCAACTTTCCAGAAGACGGACTCTATGTTTTTCCTGGTGGCACATCTGAAGCATTTGCAGGTCTGTTCTTGAAGATGAATTCCCGGATGCAGAACAATTTGAAGAATCCGCCGCCTCTTCGAATAGTGAAGCTGCTGATCGACTTCTTGGCAATGAATTCTCTTCAGAAAATGTGTTTGGTTCTGATGACTGGCGATCGGAGGAGATGCCTTGAACATGTGCAAACAAGTTTGTCGACACAATATGGTTCTCCAGCCATGCGCTGATCCTTAGCCACTCCGCATGATCCATTTCCAACAATCCCAATTGACCCAGCAAGCACGGAATCACATCAGCCCTGTAAACTTTGCAATGCCCCTCTCTGAAATTCGGCCCTACCACATCTAAAGCTTCTTGCACTTTGCGCCGTTTGGACCCACTGCGATGGCCAGCATCAATGGCAAAGGTCAGCTGCTCAAGAGAGTCAAAACCAAAACAGAGAATGCCTCTTTCGCTTCGGTTACCGAATTTGGTCAACAATGCCAGCAGCCGCGGTGGCAGAGCCAATCCATTTGCCTCTTGACGTTCTTGGGAATCTTCCATTTGTGGGAAGAATCTCCACGTTCTCACCCTAAAAGCCAAACGGCAATTGGGCTCTGGCAGTGTTTTCGCATGGTTTGCACCACCTGTCCTAGAAAAGAAACATACTGTTCAAACACAAATCCTCGGATTTTTCTTTCAACCCTGTGCGTGACAACAGGAGTCAGCCTGCAAGTTCACCAGAATTCCAGTGTTTTTGATTTCAATGTCACCAAAATTCCAGCGTTTTGTATGTCGACGTGTTGGAATTTTGATCAAAACAAATGGACAAGAACAGTGACCTCAGAACAAAAGGGCCTTTCCACACGTGCCTTTTAGCTTACACACATATGATTTTTCTGTGGTTCCAAGGCCTTGGGTGAAATTCTGGGGTCCACCCCTCCTTGAGCCAATTAAATCCCAGAATTTGTCCGGTTTCACCGGATAGGCCAAACAGCACGTCCCTATCTCAACAAGGCTTCCTGGCAGGGTGGGCAATTGTTTAGGAAGCTATGTGAAAGTAAACAGTTATGAGGGTAGAACCACCCTGTTGATATTTAATTTGATGCTACAAGCGAATATCAAGCTAGGTGACCCACCTTTTTGCTACCCAAGTCCTTCTGCTCATCGGCCAGAGCTTGAAACCGAGCTCTCTCCCTCTCCACATCCGAAACTGCTTCCGCAAATTGCTGTAAGCAGGAGGTTCGAGTGCATGTGCACTTTCTCGAGAGAAGAGTAGCCAGCGGCACTCTTGCCGGCATGGTTCACAAGAGGTGAACGATCTACTTTTGTGTCTAAAGATTACTTGGTCACATGTGTGATTAGTTCAGACCGACATTGAATGAGAATCGAGGTATGTCAGAGTTCCAGATGTTGAGATTCAAACAGCTTAGAATGAAGCATGTAGTAGATCTGTGATTTTCACTGACCTCCTACTTATTAAAGCTGACTACTTTTGAGCCAGTCTGAAGAAGTTGCGTACCCAAATCTTCTATGCTGTGCTCTCTCCTTTCCCAGGCTCTTTCTCTTCCCCTCATCAACCACACCCGCAGTCCTTGAGGAAGGCTTCTTCTTTAGAGAAGGTCTCTTTGCCACTCTTGTCGACGGACGCTTCATGGGCTGAGGTGAGTGGGACATAAGGGAGAAACCTCTCTGAAGTTGCCTTTGAACCCAAAGGCTATAGAAACAACTGCAGCCAACCCAGGCTCATGAAACCAAAACTTGGAAAGACTATGTTTTGTGGAACTTCCTTATATACGTTGGCCTTTCGAGCGAAGGATGTGCTGTACTTGCGGAAGAAGCTTCGCTTCTGAGTGCTTTGGAGCAAAGAAGTTGGACAGGATCATGAGTGTGCTGAGCCAAAAGAAGACGTTGACTGCGTGTTTTGGAGTTTGTGATCAGCAGAACTAAGCTAAGCATGAAGAGTCTTTACATGAATCAAGGTTGGAGAATGCTGGGCCAGGCTGCATTCCGATGAGAACTGTAACTAGGCGTTGAAGAACCACCATCAAACAGTCGTCGGTTGCGTTTCGGTTATATAGCAGTTAGAAGCCGATGGACAAGTTTCTTGGTGCTGGAGTCCTGGAGGCCCCTGTTGTCACCCCTTCTGCGAGATGTACGGCAGATTCCTGGTGAACATGGCCCAATCTTCCTGGATCATGCATATGATCCAGTTCATGCGATCTCATGTCACGACTGCAGCTTGAAAGCATATTCTCTTCATTTTCTGGCTCTTGCTAACTTCCAATCAAACTCAGAAAACACATGACAGGATGAGGTGCAACAAACCTGATGAATCGACGATGATTCTTCCAACACGCATCACTGGTTCCACGATGACCCTTCAGTAACTGGATCTCTAAAGCTTTGCTTGCTTTGAAGGTGCTTGTCGTCTTGCAACTCTAGACTCTCAATGACTGTGACTATGAGCCCGGTATCCTTTTGGGGGAGGCGGCGCCACCAGGGCAGAAGAGGCCGCGTCGCTGCAGCCACCTCGGAATGTCGCCATGTGGCCACGGAGCTCGGGCTGCGCGCCACGTGGCTTTGCGCTCCAGCCTGGCGCGCCCAGCGTGCCTGGCGCAAGCCGCTTGGCCAGTGTGACACCTTTTACATGACATCTTAATTCATCTAAACATCTAAACTGACTCTTAACTCTCAGATCATTTCAGACCTGCAGCCCGAAACTTGTCTGCAAACAACCCACTCCGCCGACCCCCACCACGACCCGTTTCACGAGGTTTCACCACTCGAGTCTGCGGGGACCTGCGCACCCGAACGGTGCTCGCCTTCCGCCGCCAGATGACGCTCTCGAGGCGGTCCGGAGCGGATTTGCATCGGTCCGGCACAAGAGACCCAGGTGGTAGAAGGTCGATGGGAGTCGTGCGTTCCCATCTTCCGACCGTTTGAGGATCTGGTAATTATTCAATAGATCCCGGCTCCATACGTGGCAACTTACAATTGACGGGCTTTTTTTCAACCACCAGGTAAGTATGTTGGTACAGATGCCAGTGCCCCTCGAGTGGCACCCATCGGCCGCCCGCAGGCGCCTCCACGACGTGGCGGTGGCGTTGCACGCGAGCCCTGAGGTCTCGGACCGATGGGTGCTCATTGGAGCAGCGACCTTAGAGGGAAGACCGATGGGTGCTCCATTGGGGTATTTGGATGTGCTGGAAGAAGCGCAGATCAGTGGATCTGATTGGGGGATCTGATTGGTTTGGTCAGATTATATCATGGTAAATCATCCATGGGGCCCCATGAGCTGCAACAGTCGGTAAAGAATTATAGAGAAAGGCCTGCAACCGAACCATCATCATCCACTGTTACTGGTAGTGGGATTTATATGGATATGACAGTATCCTCTATGAAATGCCCAGGGTCAAGGCATGTTATAACACCCGGGGGACATCGGACGCTCGTTTTTCAGAGTTGAGATGAGATTTTCGCGCGCGCGCGCGCGCCCGTGAGTACGAGATTTCGTTGGTCGAAAGAAGTCCGTAGAAGAACATCACACAAGTTTCTTTTGTGTATCTTTGCAATCGAAGACATTAAAAAAGCTGTTGGGGTTAGTTGGCGGGGCTGAAGCAGGAACTTTTGGCTGATAATACTGGGGACGCAGAGCAGAGACAAGAGAGAGTAATCATTAAGGTGAACAAACTGTGTGCGCTGTGCTTGTGATGTCATGTCGCTCTATGTCGCTCTGCAGGCTTCAGGCAAGAAAAATAAGGTGCAAATAGGACATGCGTTTGGCGGAGTCGTTTTACTAAATTTGATGATTTTTCAGGGTTAGGTCAAGCTTGGTCCTTTTATTACTTTAATATATATATTTTTTAAATAGAGAGTTCATGTGAAATATGATGGCCGCCATCGGTTTGGCCTACCAGTTTTTTAAATATCAAATGACTTGCAGGACCCCCAGAGGAATTGTCAAGTATATTTGTCAATACCATGGGTATATAGATAAGTAACATATATATATATATATACATATACACACATATAGATATATACACACATCGCTATTAGGTTGGAAGCCATCGCTATTAGGTTGGAGGCCATCGCTAGTAGATTGGAGGCCGTACCCAACAAATCCATTTGTTCGAGGCCTCTTGAGGGGTCTCTCGTCGGTCCTTTGGAACGGCCAAACTTGGAGGTGCTTGGTGGATGCTCTATGCAATCCACCAGCATAATCCACCAGCATTTGGTGACCTTTAGATACACAAAACTATTTTGATAGTGTGCATGTCTTTTGTTTCCTTTTCCCTGTTGTCAAGTCTTGCCATTTCAATTGAGCACTGTAGGCTGGGGCTAGGCTGCTGTGTCTGTGATTGAACACAATGCCCGTCTTGGAGTTTCGATCTATACAGTCTTTACAGCTAGAATACTTCTTGAAAGCCGCAAGGCAAGATACGACTCACCGCCGCCCGGCGTTTCAAGAGGATTGCCTTTAGCCGACCTCTTCCTGCAATAAAGTGCAGCCGCAGGTGGTGATGTAGTCCGTACTAGCCACGGAGCCAGAGTCATGGGCCGGTGAAGAAGCGGGTTGAACGGATGTTACATGTTTTGGCAACCCGTACGGTCCTCAGGTGGTGGTGGTCTTTTGGAATTTCCTCATCGTGACTCTGGCCATTCTAGCCGAGATTCCAAGAGCTTTGGCTGAAGTGGCTTCGAAGGGAGGGGAAGAGCTGGAGGGGGGTGCAAATCGGTGAGGACCTGAAAGTTTACAAATCCAACATGCTGAAATATATTGAAATGAATTGGTTCTGTTCCTGGATGAATATGGACGGATGATAAGTTTGTGATTCTCTCATGTTCTCTCATATTCTCTCCGACTCTTTTTTCACTCAAAACGTCCTTGGTCCTAGCCGACCATTTCTCGATTCTTCTTGGATGACCACCACCGGTCGCGACTCGAGTCGCGGTTGGCCCTTGGCCCTCATCCGTTTGAGGAGCCGTCTGTTCCTGTATGGTCCACAGGCCTGACCCTGCTCAGGAGCAGCTCAGCAGCTCTGCCTCTCCTTCAGCCGTCGCCCGGCCCCGGTCGCCTCCCGGGCGCGTCCCCAACCTCGGCCGCCTGAGGTGAGCGTTCACGCAAGACCTTGGCCTTGGCCGCCGGGGCACTTGACGCGGAGATGTCCGTGTGATGGCGCATGGGTGTGGCCTGGGTGTTGTTTGACGTAGAACACGGTCTCCCCCCCTCCAATCCCTGTAGCTACATGCTGGCCATTTAAAACAAAGTCCCGCAAACATCAGGAATTAGAAGAAGTCAAGATGTACACTGACAGAGATTCCCCGCACCACGGAGCCCGCACACCTTTCATGGTGACCGGGTAGCGTCTTCGTTGAGTTTGTGTTTGGGATGCTAGCCTCTGAGGGCTCCAGGAATACGCTCTTGTGGACGAACAGGGCTCCTAAGAACCCATATTCACTCGAAATGTACTTACTTGATCTTACTTGTTGTTTGGGATTTGGAGGAATTGTGCTAATTCATGCTAATTCTATGGTTCCAAGTGCCGTTCCAATGAACTTTGCAAATCCGTGGTGTTCCGCTGTGCCACGCCAGCTGTTCCTATGCTGCACCGAAATGGCCTACTTTGGCGTCTGAACACCCGCGTCGCAATCCGTCACGAGGTCGATGAAGCTGAAGGACCCGTGCCGAGCCTGATCCCATCCTGGCAAGAGCTTGGGCACGAAGCCCTAGGGTCCGACGGATCAGGATAGGAGCTTCTGGTTCCTAGTAGTAAGGCCAGGATCCCCGTTCGTAGCGTCCTTGCTCCTAGCTTGGATCCGTTTTTTCTGTGAAATCTAAGATCTGTTGACTCAGGCCTGTTTAAGGGGCCACCAGGATGTTTGGGTAGACGTTCAGGTGAGGTTGGGTGGTAATTCTTCCTTAGCGGCGGGGTGTTTAGCCCCTCATCTGGGCTTTGGTAGCTCACATCAGCATCATTCAACATCTATTAGCTCTGATCAGATCGCAGCCCCGGCCACGACGAGTGGTTTTTACCATTGAGGTTTGGTAGAGAGAGCAAGCCTGAAGAGAAGAGACCTTGGTCTGTTGGATGCACTTGGATGATGGGCATTGCGATTATGTTGGGCCGAAGGAGATCAATTCCAACGTTTTTTTTTGGGTTTTGGTTTGGCATGTGACTAGATAGCTTGAATGAAGCCGTGCGGCGAGGTCAAGCTTGCAACAGTTACCAAGCAAACCCCGCCAAAGTAAGCACGCCAAAGTAAGCATGCGAATGCCGATTCAGAACAGAACAGAACTTTGTTTTTTTGCTCGTGGCTTTATGCCTGGTGTCTTCTCAGAGGTTTGTCAAAAACAGAGTTCAACATGACAACGGGTAACGGAGATGATCTTCCACAGCCAGGAAGATGAACTTGTAAACGCTCCTATGCACCCCAGAGTTGATTGACCTTTGGGAGCCCAATGGTGTATGGTTTTTCCTTCAAACAGAGGCCCAATGGGTTCTAGGCCGGAGCAGCATTTGGGGTCGCCATCGCCTCGGAAGTGGATGGCACCGCATTCGATCCAGTGACCCAGTGGGAATTGAGGACCAAGGCTTGATCCACTGAGGACCAAGAACCAAGGCTTGAGATATTTGGTCAGCTTAGTCCAGCGACTGGAATTGACAACGCTAAGCTGACCACATATCTCAAGCCTTGGTGTTTGAGGGCTTTATGGACCCTGCCCAGGTCACCCTCTAAGGACGACCTCGATGAGGGCCTTCTGCGAAGTGAAGGTCTTGAGGCGGATGGAGAGAGTGGGGATGGGGCCACCCCCTGTGCCTGTAGGGCCCTGTGCAGCTAGTGGAGCTCGGAAGGGCGGCAGAATATGGATTGCAAGAGCCATGGACAACACATTCCCATGACTTTGTGTGGCTCCTTGAGCTAAAATCGCGGAAATCCATGGGTTACAAGTTAGACAGTTAGACATGAACTCAGATATGCAATTAGGCCACCAAGACAGTTGAAGAGATGGTGTTGCAGACGCATCAGTGGTTCATACTGTAGATGTTCACCAGAACCCAATTCTTTCTGTTTGGCATAGACATTCACCCACGCAGATGGGCCAACCATCGAAACAGAAGAGCTTTGAAGCTTTGCCCATCTCTCTTCCCTCCCCTTCCCTTTCTATTCTTGCTTCTTCCTTGGCCGTTCCATTTCCAATTTCCCTTGCTTTCTCCCTTCCCTTTCCATTTCTTCTTCTTTGCTTTTCCCCTCTCCCTTACCTGCTTCCCTTCCATTCCTTTGTCCTTTTCCCGTCCTTTTCCTTCTCCTTCAACTCTCACTTTCAAAAGGTTGTTTCACTTTCTCCTCACCAAATGGTTTCGGTGGTCATTGTATGTCCCCAGAACCATTCTAAGCTTGAGCTTGTCTGGACATGCATTGTTTGGATATGACCCACGTTCATTCGCCCACCATCGTCCGACGTCGAGCTCGTCGCTCCGCTCGTCGACGTCGCTCCGGTCGTATGCAGGCCACGCTCGCCTTCGACTCCATCGCTTCCTCGAGTCAGTCCCTGGTGCCTCGGAGAGTCCGATCGAAGGAGTCGAAGAGACGCGTTGCGTCGCGTCTGAGACCCGTCCCGTCTTCCGCGGTGGTTCGGAGGAGCTTTTCGCCGGAGGACGGACGGGAGGTTCGGAGGACCCAACGATACCCAATGGATGGATAGGCTCAGATGGTGCACATGGTTACCCAATGTTACCCGACCACTGGTTGGGGATCTGGCTCAACACGGGCTGTCCATCAGGATTCGCGTCATGACGTCGGTCATCACGGGGAGGTGACATGACATGACACTTCATACTTGCTGGATATTACGTCTCATCTCCATGAAGTGGTCGCCCAAACACCATCAGCTGACATGGGCAAAGAAGTGGAGAAGGGTTTTGCCCTCATCGCAGCAACCAGATGTCGACTTTCCTGCTGCTCAAGCGATGGCCGCCAACCTACTGGTACTACTAGCGATGGCCTCCAAATTCCTGCCCAAAGGCTAGACTTCTAGAGTTCGACAACTCAGTGCTGAGGTGGTCTTTGGTTCCCTTCTTCCCCGACATGCAGAGGTCTGGATCAGTTTCAAGATCACGCCAGCAATTCTTGATGTGAATCTCAGCCGGGCATCATCGGGCATCTAAGAGTTTGTTGACGATGCAGACGATGCAAGGTGTTTTTTCGATGTTCATCAGTTGGTTGAATCACTGGTTTTTCTTTGAGACAGTTGACCCTGGTGCAGGTCACATTGACCCTCTTGCAGCGATTCCTGCCAACCGAAGAGGAGACCACCGCGTGGGTGTCACCCCTTCGGGGCGTGGGTTTTCCCCTGGGAGCCGGTGAAAACACCCATCCGCGAACGCGGCGTGGAGCGAACTCCGCAGGAGAAGCGCTTTGGGCAGAAAGCGGTCATGTTCTTGGCCACGCAGTCGAACGCCGAGGATGAAAAGTTCTGGAAGCGGAAGGACTCTCGTCGTCCGTTGTTGGACGCATGGACTGGTGGCCGTGGGATTGCTTCACATTGGGGGGTCATTGTCGTTCACCCCTAGGAACCTGTCATACTTGCACACGGTGGGTGCGTGGTCCTGTTTCATATTTCATTGCTAATCAACTAATCAATCCCTGCATCCATGTGAATCCAGATATGCACAGGATTTGGGCGAGGGTGTGGTCTACGAAGCGGCAAATGTATATGCGTGTGTATGGACGGTATGAATGTGTGTATGGCATTTGGAACCACTGTGGCTTGATTTGATTTGAACATTGGCATGTCTTCTGCCAAAGGTCGGCACCATGGTGTGTGCATGAGAACAAGTCCACACAGTTTCTATGCAAGAAGCAGACAGGACATATGAATTATTCATGATGCACTGTAGGATGTGTACAAGTTCAGAAAGGCGACTCCCAATTTGAAGCTCAACCAGGGGCTTTGTATAGAATCCAAGCCACAGAAGGAGGAGTTCGAAGTTCCTCGTCTACATATATATATATATACAGTATATGCCCAGACGCTGCATGTATAGAATATATGCCTACATCGGGGTGCTTTGGGGGGTCAATGTAGGCATATATGGCATACATGGAGTGCATGGGATATATCTTCTGTGCTCAATCCGCGGCTTTTAGCGAAAGTCAGACCAAAGATGGCAAACCCAAACCAGCTTGCACCAACAGCTCGTTGCAAACGAAGTAAACGAAGTTCCCCAAGCAGAATTGTCCCCGTTCCCTGCAGAAAAGCACATGTTTCCCAACACCTCATTTTCGTGGAGAAGTTCCTTTAATAGGCAAACACTCTTACTGAATCTTACGGATCCATTGGTGCGGAAGGGCCCCGCCTTTCACAAGCCGCTTCTCAGGTCATCGCGCGAGTTCGCTGCTCGTTCGGCGCGCTTCGCGCTTCGCGCGGTGCACGCGAAGCGCGGTGCACGAGGCGGCACATTTGTTGACCTTGGCCCGGCTCGGTGCGGATTGTGGCACCTTGCTGGCTGGGCTGCTGGATCCCGAGCCCGGACAAGATGTGGCTCCTGGCCCGGGATCGATATAGAGGGGGGGCTGGGGGAATCTGTTTCTTTTTTGGGGTGGAGGGTGGTAGCTTGCACAAATTCGCGACTAATTGTTCTATGGTAATATATTTTCTCTACCTACTCTGCCGGGCTCATCTTTCATCTTCACGGGCCGCCACTGGAAGGGGTGCACCCCTGCAGCGAAACACATGGGACAGCGTTTGGCCGGATTTTTGGTGGGAAGAGACTGGCGAGTAAATCACAGTGGGTCCATGCGGCGAGGACATCCCCCAAGCAAATCTCCAGTTGCTACGTGTTGACGACTTGTCCAGAGGCGTTTTTTTTCTGCAATCTTCCGATGCCCCGGGACCCGTCTCTTTCGGACACCGCCGGGGGGTCGCAATAGTACCGAAGCTAGACCACGACCACCCCAGCCACGCAGCGGAGAAAAGAGAGCTCATGCACAGAAAACCGGTTTGAGTCCGAAACAGTATCATTGAATGAAGTCACCAATATGAATGTCGATGTTGACTTGAAACTTGGTTGCATATAATCAAAAAAGTCCCTAAGTCATTTTTGTATGTCATTGGTTGAAGGTAATTAAGCTTTTGAGGGGATATGCAACCTTTTCCGAAACCACTGCTTTGTGCACAAGACATGAGAAGCTCAGTCAGTGACTTGTGGAGCAAATGGTGACGGAACACATCCCCACACACAAAGAGAGGGCCCCCGATGAAGTAATCGACTTCCAATATAATGTTACTGTATTTAGAGGGAAATTGACAAGTATAGTATATATATATATATATCGAATATATGAAGTTCGTTCACTCTATCGATTTTGGTATCACTCAATTCTTGTTGAGGTCAGCCGTTGCACCGAGGACGGGCTGATGCAATTTCTCCATGGCCATCCGATTGGCAGGGAGGTGGCCCACCTCTTGCAGGAGCGGAAGGCGTGGATTCGTCAGGTGGAGAAGGCCTTTTGAGACAGCAGTCTTTTCCTTTGTTTTTCTTGCCCAGAAATCAGGACATCAGGCTTTTTGCATCATTGTCCGGAATAGTTTTTTGAGACCTCATGCTTTTGTTGTTGTTTTGTTTTTGTTTCTTTTCGCTTCATGTTCCTTCATTCTGGTTTTGTTCCTTCATATGTGTTTTCTCTGGGGAGTTCGGTCCCAAGACTCGTGGATGCTGGGTGTTCGAGTGAATGCTGGGTGTGGTCTCTTTACAGAACACCCTGGCTGATAGCTTATTTTAACTCATGTTTTGGTCCAACTCTCTATTTATACATCAGTGCATTGCGTGTATGATCCGCCACCGCAACCTCCTGTGTCAAGCTACCTGCCCTGCTGGGTGCGCGCGATCGCCCGATGCTCAGGCCATTGGCGATCTCGTCACCCTCTTCGATTTACGTGCTCAGCAAGACGACCTCGGACTGGACGGTCGTGGATTTCAAGATCGGACTGGCGGTGGCATGAAGCAAGACAGGTGTACCCCTGTTGGGGTCGAAGACCTGCAACCTCTCCGGAGTTCACTTACAAAGCGAGACTTGCAGTCACTGCAGCCATTCTTGGTGATGCCAGTAACTCTTGACTCGGACTTCTGAAGCACTGAGGGGAGAAAGTGGAGACCACTGCTGAAGAAAACCCTGCATCAAATTTGATGCATGATTCCAGCATATACAGGATTTGTTCATCAACCATGTATTTCCTCGGATGCTTGAGGCCATGCTTGAAAAACGGTGCTTCACATGGGGTAGCGAGCCCTATACATAGCAGAACTTACTATATAAGTTCATATATACATACCGTTTTATACGCTGCAAGCAGCGCTCCGTCCCATTACGTTCGCAAGACAGGGGGTGTCCCAGAACACCTGACACTACTTCTGTCACCGTAACAGTCGGGAAAGAACGTCACTATTTGGGACAGAAGGGTTTGCAACCTAAACATCATGATCCACTGTGCCAGGACGTGCAGGAGGCGCCTTGGACACCTGGCCTGCGAGCGCTCAGCTTTGCCACCAGCTCTTCGTGCAATCTTGCCGCCTGGGCTGACTGCAAGAATGCCTCATGCTGTGGACTGATGTTGAGGGGTGTTTTTCAGAGATTCACAGTGCATTTATTGCGTGTAAAACATGTTTTCGTTTTGAGGAGCTTGGATTTTGCCACGCGTTTTGAGGCCGTGATAGTCGCCCGGTGCTCGTGGAGCTGATGCTTGCCAGCCATTTGGGGGCACATCCCGGTTCTCGGCATCAGCGAAAGCGGTGCCAATCCGAAGACATGGCTTAGTGTCAAAGACCTTGAACACACTACTTAGATCCATGCTCGCAAGAGCTAAAGCAGTTTGGAACTCCAGTGCATTAGCCCTTTAGATGAATACTTAGCGCTTGATTTGAGGGAACGACAAGAAATGCTGGGTCGGTCAAACAGAAGGTTTCAACAAGGACTCATTAGCACTTTACGCGAAGATAGGAGTCACAGCGTTGCCAACAGTTCAATAAGAGGAAATTAAATTCCGCAGGTACACAGGAGTTATCAGCTCCCGCTTCCTAGGACTAGTGTTAAGAGCTTCATTGGGCAGAGCCTTGCAGGTCCTCTCTGCCGTATCTTCCCCATCGATCCCCTGCTGATCTGTACAACTTTATGAAAATCTCCTTAGAGACAGTGACAGGAGTTGACACACACACACACACATACCTGCAACCTCAAATGATCAAAAATAAGGGTGCATTCAGAATTTCCTGTGCACTACACTACACGTCTTTCAAGAAAAGCACAAGCTGTTTGAAATGCACGTTTTCTGATTGTAGCCATTTTGGCTGTATTGAGTGGCTTGTCCCCCACTTCCAAACAAAGCCCGTCATACGGTGACAAATGAGAACATGCAGCTATGTCAGAAGTAGTGAGATACCTTTGTGGGCCGAATGGTGTGTCCATCCCAAAGGAATGGCGTCCGCTGCTCCCTCCTCAGATTTCGAGCTTGTCAAACCGGCAGGGCTTCATTTTGTTGAAGCCCCGGGAGACAAAGTAGTTCTACCCGGAAATTCCCACCAAATACACGACTTTCTCCGTCCACACGTATTTCTCATACACATCTTTCCCCGTCCACTAGCCAACAGTTGCGAAGCTTATGAATCTGTGGTGGGACATGTTAGCAGGATATGTCAGAAAGTGAACTCAAGAACTGGAAGCCACAGAGGGCTAGACCGGATCCGTGTCAAAATTAAATGGGGGATCCGAAAGTTGAGCTGGAAACGCAGGCTCCGGCGCAAATGGCGACCTGGGCCGTTTTGTGTGTTTCAACACAGGACCATGCTCACAAAATTGCGCCGTTTTGTTTTCAAGTGCGCGGATTTCTTTAGAGTACACGGACATTTCTTCCAAAATCAAGTGCGCATTTTTTGTCCAACGAAGATGCAGGTGTATATATACGTATATAGTTATATATATATAGTTTTCCTTAATGGACGTCATATACTTACACTGGTTCTGGTATTGGAGGCGTCAGTAAAACAGTAGGATTCCCATCAACTTCGAAGCACAAAGTCACGTCTTGGAAATTCAGACAAAGAAGTGTGAAGCGCTTTCTACTAGCAGCCTGGCATCCCTCGCTACATCTAGCAGCATGGTGCGGTCTTGATCGTCCGTTGGCCCTTAGACTCTGGAAGATCCAGTGTGATTCGCCATGACATTCTACACCTGCAAGATCCCAAGTTGAGAATTGAATCCGAACAGCATGTTCGGGTTTGTCAGGGAAACTGGTGCTCCAGGGTTCTATTGGTCTGAGATGCGCTAGTCTTTGGGGCTATGCATTGTTCATTGCTGCTTGGCATTTTGTTTTTCGGCTCGAGCCTTCACACACAGTGCCACGAAACCGTGGAGGAACTGAGTGTGGAACAGAGTGCTTCATTCGCCTGCATGACGCTCGTCCCCGCACGTGCAGGTGTTGTTCTGCCTCTTGAGGTGGTTGGATATATAGCGCCAGGCTTTTGGATGGCGTTTGTTCGTGCTGATTATTTTGAGTTGCACGGACCCAAGTCAATATGTATAGGGCAGGGTGCATGCATTTTATTTTGGGGGCTCTGTGCACGGATTTTTGCTTAAGGAATCAGCCCATTCTTGACGGAACGTTTTGAATCGTTCCAAGATACTACTTAGGTGCTAGTAGCTGAGATCCGACCTTCTCCCATATCGCATGGCCTGACATGGGGAACAAGTGAACATCCCCAGATTCGATGCATGTGGCTGGTTTTAGGTTCTTAGGGGACTCGTTATTTAGGTGCTAACCTATAGTTCCTACGGCGGCCAGGGCGCCCCAAGGCTTTCAAGGACTTGAGAAATCATTGTGGATGATCTCCGAAGCCATTGAGGGCGCAATCTTGAATTGCAGTGGCCTTGTAATCAGGGTCCCTGACAGGGTCCTCATTGTGAGGGCATCCACTTCTTTCATCGCTGGGGTGCCAGAAGTTGCAGGGTGATCAAGGTTCCACAAAGGCTTGTCGTGGCTTGGGACTTGAGAGAATCGCTACTATGAGCAAGAAGCTACTATTCGGAACAAGATTCTAGCAACAAGGGCATCGCTACTAGTAACAAGGGCATTACTAGTAGCAAGAAGCTACTAGGGGCTCTTGGCCTTACTACTAGGAGCAAGAACGCTACTAGGGGCTCCTGGCATCGCTACTAGTAACAAGGGCATTACTACATATTACTACTAGTAGCAAGAAGCTAGAGGAAGGTGTTTGTTTTTGCGTGCACGATGGGCCTTGGGGGGGCGAACTTGCCTATCGGCCTCGCCGGCTATCCAAGGGCAACATGTCAAGCCTCTTCCAGCGATTCCTTTACACCCATGTGTCCTCCCGACTCTTGGATGGATTGGATGTCGTCCATGGACGTGAGGTCCAAATTGGTCGGCGAGCCCTTGCCAGGAGTCAAAAACTCCTGGTTTGGTAGATTGGCCATGGTCATGCTGCTTTGTGTTGAGGGGATTTCACCAATTGCTGGCAACGAAAGGACCATGGGCCGTCTTCTCTGCTCAGCACCTTCGCCTCAGGATGAAGCTCCCCCGAAGCCGCCGCCACGGCAGCGGCGACCTCCGACGCTGAAGGGCGCCGAGTCAGACACAGGGGTGTCGGCGTCCGCGCAGCTCGCAGCAGAATGGGGGCGGACGGATGGGCTAGGCTAGGCTCGTTGGGAAGCTTGTTAGTAGCGCCCTCTTGTTCCTAGTAGTGATGCCAGGAGCTACTAGTAGCTTCAAGAATGGGGGCTAGGTGTCCTAGTTGGGTTGGAAAAGTATGCAGGCTGACTCAGACCTGATTTTCCAAGATGCATAATGCGCATAATGGCCCATGACTATGGATATATTTTTAGGGGGATAGGGGTGGATGCCTTTGCATCACATGGTGCACACTTTGCCGGACCAAAAGCATCAGAGTGTTGAGGACTCTTCGCTTTGCCAGTTTCAGGGTAGGATGCGAAGAGACCCCTTGTCGCTTGTGAACGCATCTCCCATGGAGTTGGCCTATAGGAAGCAGGAAGTGAAGCAGGATCACAACAGGTTTCAAACATGTCCCAGATGCATCAAGAAGACCAAACTCCCGCAGACATCCACCATGGAAAGCCACTTTCCTTGCGAAACATGTTTGTGTGTCCGCGAGGTCTTTCAACCTCCATTTATACACTTTCAGCGTTGACTCCCTTCGCAGACCTTCGGCCTCTTCCCCGCGAGGCCGACGGACAGACCTGAACTGGCAAGTCTTCATGCTCTAAGAGCTGTGCTGGCTGCGTCGCAAGCCGACATTTTGCAAAGGCTTGATTCAGCAGCTTGGCTGGCCTGGAGATGTCTGGAAGTGTGTGTGGAGCTCTAAATATAATACCGTACATGTGACTTGGGATGGTCCTTGTCGCTCAGCTCAGCCACTCAAGACGACGCGGGAAAAAGGTTCGGGGCGCTGATCCGAGCACAGCTTTGATCGGAACACACTGTGCATGTCCAGCTGCATTTTTGTGCATGGTCAGGAGATCATCCGCTTGATGAAGATGTTTGACGGGGTGGATGCTCTGGTGCAACCCACAGGGGTGCAGGGCGCCCCCGTGAAAGCGCCAGCCAGAAGAGAAGCAGTCGACATCCCGGACGGCCCATGCGACATGCTGGAGGATGGAAGTGAGGGTGAGGCATTTGATGCTTGTTCGCATTGGATGTATGACGCGTTTGCTCCAAGGGTTCCTTTTCTCAGCTGATGGAGGGATCTGAAGGATGCTGCAAACATGGGCAAGCTGAGTCAATATCATGTATCATGTTTGTATTGTGTAGTAGTTTGATGTAGTTTGATTGTGAACCGAGCCTCACCCAAAAGAACATTGAAGTGCTCTGAGTTTTTCTGAGTATGTATATATATATATTACTGTATATGGAGTCGTTCTGAGTCCTTTGGTCTCTTCTGAATCCTTTTGAATCCGACCTTTCTAGATTTGCGGTTGTTTGTTTCTCCACATGGGATCAAAGGCAAGTAGGCGATTTCGTGGGATCAAAGGGCCTTTCTGAAGATTAAGACTAACACATTCACACGCTCAGGACATTTCTACATATCATTCATTGTACTCTGTAGATTGCCCCTTTAGAAATGGTCACTATCCTTGTCCGCTTTTGGGCGCCTGCAATCGTGAAGGCGCCACAGCAGTGAACAACTGCTCATGTGACAGAGAACGGGGGACATCCAGTTTTCACCGAACTTGTCATCCGAAAACCGTTTGAGCGGCATGTGCTGCAGTCACAGACAGTGCTTAGAAACCTCATGCGGACATCTGCACTGGCGATGGCCTTCACCGTAGATGACATCGAAATGATTCCAAATTACTAAAACCACCGGCAATAGAACTCCTTGTTTGGGGGGTGGTTGTCTTTAGACAATCTTTGGCTCAATTTGAATATATTGGTATACGTCCTTTTTGTCGTCCAGATCTGAAAAGCTTACGAGAGTTCTGATACCCCAAGCCCACGCAGAGAGTTCTGATACCCTGTGTTTGGTAAAATGACGGCGGCCCTTTCTCCCTGACCTGGCCCGACTGCTTACTTCACTTCACCTCCAGGTGCAGTCGGTCGCCATGGGCGACAGCGCGAGAGACATGCTGAGGAAGTACATGGCCAAGGGACGAAGTTCCAGTATGCAGGAGCCGTCCGCCCCGCCCTCGACCGAGACTGAAAGATGTACAGCACCTGAGGACCTGGCTAAACAGGCGCCTGTTGCGCGCCTGTTTGGCGCCAAGCGCTTGGCGCTGAGTGGGCAGAAACGAAGGAGGGTTTGGTAGAACGGTACTGCCACCCAGTCGCAGAGGATTTGACCAAGATTAGATCAGCTTGTGTCAACAAACGTCCTCTGAAGGCATGGTCTCAAGGAGCTTCAGGCCAGGCTGCTGACCGTACACTGGTCAGATGGCGGAAGGTGTGGCAGGAAGCGATGGGGCACTAACAGAGTTCTCGAACAAGAAACGGTAACGGCAACCACTCGCTAATCTACCAACACTTTGACGATCTTTGATGCATGTGGGAATCAAACATCATGGAAATTGGCTTCGCGTGGCGGCTACCGGCCAACCACCAAGAGCATGAGGGTGTCTCTTGGATTCCTGTGCCCGGTCCTCAGTTCGGGACCCATTTTGGCTCGGTGTTCCGTTTTCGGCACACAGGAGACCGGCACAGGGCCCATTGCGATTGCGGCTTGGAGATGTATCACGAGATATCACGAGTGTCATCGGGGAAGCACTTGTGTCACCAGTGTGAGACGTACCGGTCACCGAAGGGAGGTTTTTTCGATGTTGAATGAACTCGTGGAGCTCAGATCTCAAATTGACTTTGGACTCCCAGGGTGCTTCTCCCGAAATTGCTGGGATGGAGCAACTAAGAGCAGTTTTTGCAATGCCACGTGGCATATGTCATGTAGCACCTTAGTCTCCACGCCTCTAGCCAGGCTTTAGCTAAAACAAGCAAAACAGACATGAGCGAAAAACAGACGCTGAACCGGCCATCCCTACCGGCATCAGGATCCAAAACATAAAAATAAGAAATAACACTATAAAAAACAGAACAGGATCAACCCCCCCAAAAAAAGTGGTCCTTAGGTCCCCTGGTCCTTTGGTCCATTGGTCCGCTGGTCCTACTACTACTACTACGACGACGACGACGACGACTACTACTACCTACACCTACTACCTACACCTACACCTACACCTACACCTACACCTACACCTACACCTACACCTAC